GGCGGCGGCGGGTGGCGGGGCTCAGGTCTGCCGCAGCGGCGCGGTGACGCGGCGGCAGAAGCCGTTTATCAGTTTCACACGCAAACTGACGATGCATGGATTGCGGCGGGGTTGAAGGGCATCAGGTTGCGTTGTTGGCAGGACTGAACCGTCGTGAGCAATGCGGAAATCGATCTACCGCTTATTTCCCACCAAGGTCATCCATTTGGCCTTGATCTTAGACGGTTTATGAACGAGTAGGGTAAGGTAGGGTAAGGTGGGGTAAGGTGGGGTAAGGTGGGGTAAGGTGGGGTAAGGCGCCCGCCGGGACAAAACGCCCCATCAAGATATCTTGGAACTGAAGAAGTCCCGGGATAACACTTTCTGCTCTGTTAAACAAACAAAATGTGGTCAGCACGCTGGCAGATGGCGACGAACCTGGTGGATTGTGTTGGAGAGATAAAAGTGAAAACGTGTTTGCGAGTGATTTTTTCTTTTTGGTTGTTTCAGTGCTAAGTTAAGGCGATGGTTTATACCGCACTACAGTTCATTCATGCATATCTAGAGATCATAATTTGAACCCACTGGGTTGAATTCGCGTTGGTCCTCGTTCTTGGCGCCACTTTATATGCGAATGACCGGTCGGGGTAAAAGGTCACACTAGGTCGTGAAGTAAAAGCCCCATGGGACGTCTTGCCCCATTTATGCCTTTATTTATGCCTTTTACATTTATGCCTTTTATTGCCAATTTCCCGTTGAATCGGCTTTGAACGTCTAGTTGACCGTAGCTTAATCTGGGTAGCTATTTTAAAACTTTTAAGGGACAGAGTGTTGAGGAAATATGATTGCACGAAATCATGACATTGGCAGTTGATTCACCTTTTAAACTTAGAAATGTGGTTAAAGTAAGAGCCATATTGTTGCTTACATTGTAACTGGGCAGCGTGCAATAAAAATGACTTTGTTTCAAGTGTGGTGCGGGCATACAAGAGAAAATCACAGCACGTGAAAAATGGCGAAATTGCCATTAGAAAATCTCTGGATGATCTCAGAAAAGGACTGCGTGTGCGGGAGTTGTCACGCAAATATGGTGTGCCGCTTAGAACATTCCGACGTCATCGCGACGGTAACGTGAGACGTCCAGGAGAGCGGTATCTTGGAAGGTACGACACAGTGTTCCCCTCCAATGTGGAAATGGCTCTCAAAGAGCACATTCTAGAGATGGAAAGTCGCCCTTTTGGCTTGACTACCATGGACGTACGGAGGCTGACATTTCAGATGGCTGCACGTATGAAACTCCCGCATCCGTTTCGAGAGGAATCCGCCGAGAAGAAGAATGGCTCTGCGGCTTTCTAAACCGCAACCCTGATATTAGCCCCGAGAGCCGCAAGCCCGATTGGCTTCAAAAAAGACGTATATATATATATATATATATATATAGCATTTAAAAAGACACACATATATATATATATATATGTGTATATATATATATATATATATATATATATATATATATATGTGCATACAAGAAAACCGTGCGTACCATTCACACCAGCGGAGGTGCAGGGTGGTTGCCATGGCGAAGTCAGGGACGTTGTCATGGGAAGAAGCGTAGTGCTGTTAGAAAGCGCTGACAGCCTAATTTGGACTAAAAAATAATTAAATCGACATCCTTGCGTCTTGAAGATGCTGAAGTGGCGCTACGCAGAGATACTATCGGACGCATCTGGTCCTGAGGTTTCACTAGAGTATGTGCCTTTCAGATATGCTCTAAAGGTGGGTAAAGGTGGGAGTGTTAAAGGTAACTTCCTTTAACATTCGCCCCGGGGGCCCTCGGAAAATTACGCGCAATGTGGGGGGGGGGCAGTCCCCACCTTTCTCCTATCATCTTGAAAACAGTGAAGAAAAGTAGCGAAACTTCCATGGTGGGTGGGTAATACGACGAACAAGGTTCTGTGAGAATATTACGACCTTCGAGAGGTCGGGGCGACGGGGTCGGCTGATGTCAAGCACACCTGCCTTTGAATGTTTAGCATGGCTTGGGTTGTCACCCCGTGAACCGCTGCGATTTAGTTTAAATTCCCTGAAATGGAATTAAGCTATGTTGTTGACATGATATACAATGAGTTCAACCACCCTCCACTCATGCACTCACCGATACACTCACCCCCGCTGTAGAGGGGGGGGGGAGGGGTGAGTGTATCTCCATTATCCTGCGAATTACCCGACCCACGCCGCGACTGGATTAGGAAAGTCGCGGTGTGGACCGGGAGAGTCGTGATGAGGATCAGAAGAGTCGTGATGTGGAACAGAAGAATCACGGCACGGATCAGAAGACTCGTGACTCAGAAGACTCGTGAAGACTCGTGGATCAGAAGAGCCGTGAAGTGGATCAGAAAAGTCGCAGCATGGATCAGAAGAGTCGTGACTTGGATCAGGAGAGTCGCAGTGTGGATCAGTTGCCGTCACTGTCGGAACGGTTAATCCGCATAGAACGATTGTCGACCATCTTCGCCGATCTGCAGAATTGTGACATCCCTCGGCTTTGACCATGCCCTCATCCTTGCCGCCGAGTCAGACTCTGGGGTTGGACATTCTGCTTTCGGTGTGCGACGAGCCTGCCATCTGTGACCAATACCGCACGTCAATGCTTCCAGAAAATCCACCAGGGTGAAGAGAGAGAATCCGGTGACCACGCCGAGAAGCCCGCCGATGTTAGCAAGCAATGCACTCAGTGTAAAGGTGACCGCTTCCCGAACCTCATCCGCAGCGAGATTTAGCGTCATGTGCAGCATTGTGAAACAGGGTGAGAGAGTGGGTTTGCTGTGGTCAACCATCCCTCCCAGGAGCCCGGAACGCACGTCATAGGCGACCTGGCGACAGGCGGCCGGGCACTCGCAGTCCCTTGTGTGCTGAAGCAGACTGCTGGGGACGTACTGCTCCGCCCCCTCCGGCATGTCCAGCAACGGAGGTGCGGCAGGTACTGGAGGCGGTAATGGAGCACGCTTCGCTCGTGGGAAGACGGAGCGCTGCCCGGCGGCGGCGGGGGCCTCCGTCCAGGCGTCGCTCGTTGACGTGTTGGATGCGTACTTGAATCGAGGCCGGCTCCACTCGTAGCTGGAAATCATACAGAGCGACTCCCGGATCTGGTAGAGAAGGATCAGTCTTCCCCGGCGCGACTCCGGCTGCACGAGCCGAGTACAGGCGGGCAGGTGGTTGAGCGGTCCGCGCAGCTCGGGCAGGAACACGCGGGCCGACACCATGTGCGGCAGCCGACAGTCGATGTGCGCCGCCAGCCGCCGCCACAGGCACTCCTTCAGACAGCGGGCTGGCGAGTAGCCGGGCTCGTCGCGGCAGGGCTGCCGGCGCACGCTGACCAGTCGGCGCAGTCTTGCTGTCACGCGAAGGCCGGTCTCGTGGCCGGACCGCAGCTCCCGGACCGGGGTCACCGGCACCGGCTCGTCGATCCGCGGCGCCGGCAGGTCGCCCACGCTCGGCTCCTCCGGCCCGTGCACGTACAGACGGTAGGCCACCTTGCCGCGATTGCCGGTGAAGAGGGCGGGCACAGGCAGTGTCAGGTGGACCGAGAGTGGGCTGTGGCCGCTTCGGTGCAGCGTCGCGTTCGGCTCGAAAGTCAGACAGCGCATTGGCCGCCACGGCTGCTCTCCTAGATGCAGGTAGAAGCGCCGTCGCCAGACGCCCAACGGCCTCGGCAGGAGTACGTCGCTGATGCCGCCGTGGCCGCTGGCTATATGCGGCTGATCCAGCCCGCCGGGCAGTATCTCCAGCGTGGTCCGGTTGTAGAACTCGGTGACCGACAGCGAGCCGTTGGCCAGCTGGCGGTACAGGTCGATGGCCAGGCCCTCCTGAAGACGAGAGCCGGGGCAGAGCGTGAGCCGCGGGAACGGCGCCACCCGCCGCACCACCGTCGAGCTGACCGGCTCGGAGCGGAACTCCTGCACCTGCTGCCACACCAGCGTCAGCAGCAGCAGCAGCAGCGCCGTGCGCGCCGTCCAGTGCAGCAGGATGCGACCAGAGCCTCGTCGCGGACCCCCGGCCGGAGCGGCGTCCATGCTGGCGGCTCTTGCGACACTGAAGACAAGGAACCTGCCTGGGACGTCCCGTGCCCCCGCTCCTACTTCCCGAGCCCTCCCCCTTCCCCACGCTGCGTCATGCTGGGCAGCATCGATGGACTGCGCACTTGTTGAAGACGACTACTGATAACAAATAACCCGAAGCCTGGTGACCCGTGGCTGTTCAAGCTGTCGACGGTCCAGTCGTCTGGTCGGCTATTTGACAAGAACGCTCACAGTCTGATATCGACGGGGCTGGGAGCGGTTGACCAATGCCCCTGTCATGACTTCCACGCGCTGAAAAGTTTCGTGAAGTTGGCGCTTTGTTGGCCACCTTGACCAGCGACAGGGTCTACCCGTTACATGCCCTGGACGCCATTATGCTGGCGCAAGTGACAGTTTGCCTTTACTGGAGTTGCGCTGGGTTAGCGCCGCAGTACCATATGC